AAGCCTCTGGTCTATACTCAGTGCTCAACTCTCCCTGTTCACATCTGTATCTCCCTGGATTCCCAGGGCCTCTCCTTTCAGACTTCCTGGGTGTACTCACCTGGGGTGAACATGCTGGCAACAGCACGTTGAGCCCATGCAGTATGACCTGTGAGGTCTAAAGGTCTTGTGTCTTTGTCAGGGCCTCAGGGAGAGGCAGGGGAAGGGCCAGGCCTGCACCACGGCTTTCATGATTTCAGTGTGTATCCTGGTGAAGGCCTCCATGAAGAGAGGAGGGAAGAGCTCCATGGCCAGTGCCTCATTTCTCAGCAGGCTCTGCCCTGCCAGCTGCAGGAAGATGGGTGGGGTCTGGATGCTGATCCTGATGGATTTTCAGGCAAGAAGCCTGGGTAGCCTTTCAACCCACCCCATAGAACCCTTCAATGCTCTTATCTAAGCCTCCCAATAGCTGGGATTAAAGGGGTAGACAAATGTTTCAGCCTATCTGTTTTCCAAACCTGCACGTGAAGTCATACCGCACCTGTTCCCCATTATGTGTTGGAGGTGCTAATCTGTTTCTCCCACTTGGATTGAGGATTTGGAGCTAAGGACTTTGGCTTGTCTACACAAGGTAACAAGGCTCCTGCCCATTGTTCTTGGATTTGCCTTCCTCACATACACCTCCATCTGTCTCGCTGTTTTCAGGGTCTATTTTACATCAGTGCCATCCCCACTCAGCCCTGTCAGAGCCCACCTACCACAGCTGTTCTTTCTGGACCGTGATGAGAAAATGGAGGTGGCCCACTTTTCCAGGTCCATGTGGGACCTTGTGCCCAACCGCTTCACCGTGAGTGTGCACTCTCTGCCCCTGGTGCTCCTCCACTGCATGGTGGCCACAAAGAGGCCCAAGTCTCAATGCTTTGGGCTTTACTGTGCTGAAGGACAGTGGTGGGATGAGCAGAGAAGACTGAAAACTCTAGGGAGGAGGGTGGAGAGTCACAGAGGGACAATCATTCTTCCTGTCCTTTTCTCCTAGTCTCCTGCTGGATGGGTTGGGGATCTAGGGAGCTCTGTAGTCTGGGCAGGTGACTAGGGCTCACCATTCATCAGGTCCTGGTGATGTGTTAGTACCTGGCTCACAAGGTTTGGGTATCACGTGAATAATGCCAGGACTGCTCACATGCAAAGCCTGGCACTGCCAACTAAAGTCCCTTCTATCTTGACCATAGCCACAAATCTTACAGTGTCACTTAAGACCCTATTATGTCCTTTTCCTTCTGCAGGTGGGCCAGGATTTTGTTTTGTTTTGGTGGTACTGGGGCTTGAACTCAGGGTCTAATGCTTGCTGGGTGGGTGCTCTACCATTTGAGCCATTCTGCCAGCCCCACCTCACTATATTTTGAATGGAAACCAAATGCATGAGTTGTAGATGGTGGTGGATACATGACATGTTTATTTCAAAGACTACAGGAAAGGAATTTCAATTCTCCTTTCAATCTCTGCCTCCTATGTCACTATTAGCCATTTTGTTCTCCAATCCTGTCAAAAAACTTTAAAAGCTATTGTGAAAGTCATGTAACAGTAATATACAACATTTGGACATTAAAGAAGAAAACAGACACTCTGAGATGTATATCCCCATATGTACATGATCACATCCGGGAACCTCACACTCTGGGGTGGCTATGGAAAAGAAATAAATCAATCACAACTCTGCTTTAAAATTGTTGTATAGAACATGATTCAGCTTTGAGTTAAAGGGAATATCAAACTTAAAATCATAAAGCCACAAAGTTTATGATCTACCCAACAAACTAAAGTGTGAAGAGATAAATTTCCAATCAGATGTTCTATGTTTAGGTGTTTGATTAAGAATTCACAAGGGGTTAGGAATTCAGCTCAGTGGTTAATTGAATGCCTAGCAGCATAAGGTCCTGAATTCTGCCCATAGCACTGAAGAAAAGGAAAAAAGAAAACAACAAGAAATGGTGAGGGACTGGGAATTCAGGTCCATGGTGGAACACTCGCCTAGAATGCACAAGATTGCAGTGTCTGTCTCCAGCAGATAAAAAAATTAAATGCCATGAAGTGAAGCAGAAATCAAAGTGATTAGGATAAAAGCCAACACTACATTTTGAGGCAAAATCACGGCCTTCCATCTGTTCATCTGGGCAACATGAAAAGGAAAGTTTCCCGTGACATCCTGACTGTCTGTCACTATTTGAGACTGGCTGAGGGTAGGTAGGATGGGTGTCCTTACTGACGTTGGTGACTCACAGATGTGGGTGAGGTTGGTAGGAGCTCAGGCCTCTCAGCAGGCCAGGAAGTGACCCCTGCTCAGGGTTCTGGATGTTTTCCTAAATAAGTTTTATTGATTTTCTACTCATATCTCACCTTTTCAACTATTAGAGTCCAATCAGAATGCACTATTTGAATAAATTCCTGAAACAAAACACAGTTAACCCTGGTTGGTTTTTAGCAGAAAGACAACAGAAAACCCAGTTGTTGGCAGGTTCTGGTGGGAGGGGGTGTGAACAGGCAGAGCATACAGGATTTTGAGCACAAGAAACTTCTGTGTGATCCTGCAATGCGGGTTCATTCATTACATGTTTTTCAAAACTTGTTGACTGGACAACAGCAAGAATGAGCCTAGAGGTCAACTGTAGATTTGCAAATGTGTGTTCTTGGGGGTCTATGAACAGTGATGTCTGTTTCCCTCTGGAAAGGGACGCTGCTCCTGGGGAAGTGGTGCCCGTGTGGAGCAGGGGATGTGGGAACTGGGGAGCTTCTGATCAATTTTTCTGTGATTCTAAACACAGAAGTAACCAAGGCAACATTAAAAAATAAATGTGGCCAGTGGCTGACACCTGTAATCCTAGCTACTCAGGAGACAGAGGTGAGGAGGACTGTGGTTTGAAGCCATTCCCAGTGAGTAGCTCTAGACACCCTATCTCAAAAATGGCCAATGCAAAAAAGGGCTGATGGAGTTGCTCACGTTGTAGAATGCCTGTCTGGCAAACATGAGCCCTGAGTTCAAACCCCAGTGCTGCCAAAAACATTAAGTGTGCCAATTCAAGCTCTATCATTTTATTCTTCTAAACATTTATTAAATAAGTAATATTATCATTCATTGACACATCTATTTTTCAATGTCTCATTTAATTTTACTAATTTAAGAAAGGCTTTCACAATATCCTGATATCAAACATACAATCTTAATACCGCATCTTTCTGAATATGGGATTACAGGCATGTACACAAACAGCTTAATTTTTCAACTATTACTCAGTTACTTTTTTTTTCAGTGCTGGGGATGAAAGCCTGGGCCTCACAGTTGCTAAGCAAGTACTCTACCACTGAACTACACCCCAGGGCAAGTTTCTTCTCTTGGAACCAGAAAATCAAGTTAAACACTATTTTTTAATACTATTGCATTCTGTGAAAGATCTAAATTATCTCTATAATTTTCAAAGTGGTTTATATCTTTATTATTCCTTAAAATCACAACATAGTAAACTTTATTTCCATTTCCTGCACGGTGAGCAGGGACTGTTTCTTCCCTTTTTTCCCCCATTTCTCACTATTTCATCTTGCTATACTAAAATAAATACTTGCTAAAATTTCAAAAAACAAATCACATTATTAATGGTTAATAGTGTATCATCACAGGAGTTTTGTAATGACTGCAGGAAACTGGTGTTGGAAGACACTCAGTGGTGCATCTGTCCTGAATGTCCAGCAGAGGGTGCAGGAAGCCTATTGCTTGGATCTTTTCAGATCACTTAAGGTGAATCCAGGTGTGTTTTTTTGGTTTTGGGGACTGAACTCAGGACTCCTCATTTGCTATGCAGATGTTCTACCACATTAGCCACACATCACTGAATCCAGCTTTGTGTTCCCACCTCCCACCGCTGCTACCTGCTGAATCTCTGCTATTTGGTGAATCCTGATTAAATGGAGGCCCCATGTAGAGGGTGACTCCCATTTTGTGCCAGACTCCCTGTTCTCCTCCTTGTTAACAGGAATGGAGGTTGAATAGGAGAATTGGTAGCCTTGGTTCCTGCTAGGCGAGATAAAGAGGGCAAAGGAGGAGTTCCCCTTACATGAAGCCTCCCCCTGCTTCAGATGGGCCAGGGCCTTCTTATACCACATGAGCCATGCCCCCAGCCCTGTGGGGTTTTACAATTTTCATTTCTTGATAGACTTTTACTAATTTTTGTAAAGTAAACCATTATTACAAGGGAGGAATATTTGTCACCATACTGGAAGCCTTCTCTCCTGGAGCCAAGGAAATGGTTTGGAGACCCAAGAATATGACCTCTGAAATATGGCTTAATCCAATTCTCTTTTTTTCCATTTCGTCTTTCCCTTTCCTTATCCTCCATGAATGGGTCTATGGTTCACCATAGCCAGAATTGTGGATCCCAAATGGACTCTGTCCTTTAGAGTGGGTTTGAAGTGCTCACTTCAGCTGACAGCCTGTGTGCATTAACCACTGACCAGCCACACACGGATGTCACAGATGCCCAGAGAGAAGGCAGAATGGAAGACAGTGGTCAGAGTGGCTCCAGTTGTTGATGACAAGAGTTCTTGGGCTTCAGCCTCATTGCTGAGACTGCTCAGTGCCCGTGGTTCCCTAAAGTCACAGGACTTTCCTCCCTTCACACTGGACACCAGGATAACAGACCAGGCAGACAAACAGTGTTTGCATGGAGGTTCAGACTATTCTGATATTGGTGATTATGAAGGGGCAACAGCCTCATGCACCTCTCCAGCCTGAAGCCACATTTGCCATTTATGATTCATATCTCTGACTGCATAAGACACATGTCAGAAGGATCCATTGCTCCCTGTTGCAACCTATTCCCTCTAATCTGAAACCCCCTCCATCACCTTCATTTTTCCCAAACCTATTGAACAGTGGGCTGAAACCCTTTACTCGTTGTTATCATTATCAGATCCCTAGGCCTTGGCTTTCACTTAATAGTAGCCAAGAAAAGGATTTGGATATTTGTAATCAACTAGGCGTGCATCCAACAGTAGCTTAGACAGTGCTCCATGTTATAGACCCATCGGTTGCCACATTGAGGGCAGTGCTCAGTACCGAACAGCACCATCATGGGCTTCCTTATGGTCCTCAGTGTATCCATGAGCTCAGCACAATGTTGGGTAAGTCTCCCTGTGACCACAGAACCCAGCCCATCATAGCTCTCCAGAGGGGCAGGGTACAGCTCCTGCCTCAACTGCCTCAGCCTGGCAGTGTGGTGCAGCAGGTCCTTCAGGACACTCATGGAAATGTGGTTCTCATAGAAGCTGAAAATGGTGAGCTGGGAGCAGTGGCTCAGAGCAGGCAGGAGTACAGTGAACTGGGAGTCCCTGATCCCACAGTCCTCCAAGTCCAGGGTCTTCAGAGTGTCTGTGACTCTCTCTAGTAGAACTTGGAGGGGCTCAGGACCCACATAGCTCAGCGTGACTCCTCTCAGACTCAGGTGTTTGAGCTGGTGGATGCTAGGGCATTGGGACAGATGTTTCAAGTCTGATTCTACAAGCTGGCAGTGAGTTATTGACAGCAACTCCAAGGGGAGCTTCAGGCACCTGAGGACAGACCAAGCAGTTATTTCTGGCTAATAGATTATAGAATTGAGGAGAGTCAGGAAGGACCTAGGTTGGAGAGGTGGACCTTTTCCATCCACATCCAAGGTGAACCTGTACATGGTTGATACCAAGGATGATGCATGTTATTAGTGTGGTCACAGGGTGGGTGCCAGAGGCTCACTCCTGTAATCGTAGCTACTCATTAGGCAGAGATCAGGAGGATTGTGTTTCAAAATCAGCATTGGGCAAATAGTTCCTAAGAACCTATTCTGAAAAATCCCATGAAAAAAAAGGGCTGGTAGAGTGGCTCAAGTTGTAACAGCAAGTGCCAAGCAAGCATGAAGGCCTGAGTTCAAACCTCAATGCCTAGTGTGTTCTCTAGTCACCACATCTGGGGTGGGGCATTTTACACTGTGTTACTGGCTCAATGCCCCTCTACACAGCACCCTCTCCTCAGTGTCGCACACAATGCCCATTTCTGGCCAATGGAGGCCTGCAGGAAGGACAAACCAAGACAAGCTCTGGAAACCTCACTCCTGCCTGTATCCCCAGCACAGCATCTGTCACTGTCCCCTTGTTTCTCTCCTGCTCCTCACCCTCAGCCCCAGTGCCACACACTTCCCACCACTCCCCCCTTGCCTGAGCGCAACACCACCATTCAGAGAAAGGGACTTAGAGACAGGCTCTTTCATGCTCACACAGGTGGGGAGCTCAGAGCTCCCGTGGTGACCTGTGCAGGTGTGAGGTGCTTCTCTCCTTCAGTGTCCCCCCTCCTTCCTACTTCCACACGTGAGCTTAGAACACCTCCCAGAGAAGAATTCATAGTCTATCCCCTATGCTTGACCCCTACAGCTGGCTTCCTAGCATGGTAACCCTTTCTAGGTCATCCACCTTAAAGTGTACACATTGACACTGATGGTTTATGAGTGTCCACACTACAGAATAGACTAGAAAAACTCAACACTTAACACATTTAATGCATACATCAACTGACATCTCCAATGGATGGCAAACAGCTTGTGTTTCCCATGTCTAATATAACAAGGAAAGGCTTGACTCCGTGCTGCCTAGACCATCCAGTTCATCCTCACCTGAGAACCTGGTGCATGTGCCCACGGAGGAAATAAGCGCCATTCATATAGAGCTGTTGGAGGCGGTTGAATTTGCCAAACTCACAAGAGAAGGTGGTGACAAGCTGCTCATTCTGTTCTGGAGAAATGCATGACAACACACAGGTATGAGAGATGCAGAGTTTGTGTAGGTTTCTCATCTGGCCCAGGTAAGAAGCAAAAATGCCCAGGGTGCACAGGTTCCATGGACAGTGCACTTCCAACTCCTCCATCCAGTCCAGCTCCAACAGGCACAGAACCCTATGGATGGGCCATGCCCTGGAGCCGCAGGTACACAATCCACAAATCTGCATTTTCTTACAGCAGAGCTATATCAAACTTTTCCTCTGCAGGACCCACTCAAACAGGTATATTTGGAGTTCATCCAGGTCACTGAGCTCCAGGTTAAGGTCAACTATCAGCCTCAAGGGCTGCTTCACCCCTGTACTCAGAGGGATCGCCTCTGCTTGGTTCCTGCTCTTGGCCTGTGGTGTGCAGTGCCCAGCCATGTTTCCTGACCAAATCTTCCAGAAGTTCTGGTGCACAGTCCGGAGGTCCAGCACCTGCAGTTTCCACCTCCTGAGGAGAAACGGGGAGAGTCTGAGAATCTTGTCAGTGTTCCCATCATTCACCTGTGCTTCTATTCCCCAGCCTCCATCTTGGACATCACTGTGCCCTTTTCAATTTCATCTCCATCTTAGTTTTCTTTCTTTCCTTCTGTTTTTATTCCAGTCTTTCTCCCTCTTTTTTCTTGACGTGCTGAGTCACAGTCCCAGGTCCACTTGCTTACTAGACAAAAGCTCCTTGGCTGGGCTTCATGAGCAGAACTCTCACTTCCTTTTCTCCACCCTCTTCCAATTGAATCAATAATGGTTCCCACTTCTAACACCTGACACAGGTTCAGCTCCTTCTGCCATTCTCACATCCATCCTAATTAGTCCTCTACTCCCAGAAGGCGTTTTCCAGGTGGAGCTCAGAGATAGCTCCCGCCTTTCTAATTTCTTCCTTCCTGATCAGATGTCACTTTCCCTTCTCTCTATGTTCTCAACTCAGTTTTCTATAGACCACAGCACCGTCCACTTGATATTCCCTGAGTCACACTCACCTGGGGTGAACCTGCTGGCCAAGCAGCATGTCAATCCCATCCAGGGCAACCTGTAAGGCCTCCATGTCCCAAGGTTTCATCAGGGCCCCCAGGGCGAGGCAGGGGAAGGGCCAGACCTGCACCATGGCCTTTATGATATTACTGCATCTCCTGGCTAAGTCCTCCAGGAACAGAGGAGGGAAGAGCTCGATGGGCAGTGCCTCCAGAGCAGAGATGTCCAGGGCCTCGTTCCTCAGAAGGCTCTGCCCTGCCAGCTGCAGGAGGGTGGGTGGGGCCTTGATGCTCATTCTGAAGAATCTGTAATCAGAGGCTCCTGCCAAGCATCCAGGAAGACACCTGTCAGGCCAAAGCCAAGAAAACCCCTATTCACCATTCAAGGACCCAACTCAGGAACCAAGTCATTGCTCTGCAATAGTAGAAGAGAACTGAGTTTACTCCATTACCCCTTAGCACCTGAGGGCCACAAATTCACAGCTCTGTGACATCAGGCAGCAGGATGAGCATCTCACCAGTACCAACATGGGCACAAGTTCACAATTGCTTTTGCATTTCCTACCAATGCTCCTGGTAGTTCAGGTCCTCTTGGAAGGGACATCAAGGAGCTGGACAGCTCACTCCAGCCTTTTTGTCATAAGGTTTCTGGTCATCACTCAAGATCCCAAAACAAAAGCAAGGGAAGTCCCATGTGCCCGCCCTCCCTACATTCTTTATTCATTCTATGTCTTCCTGCTTGAAGCAGTAAGGAGACTAGAAAATGATACAATTAGTTTCCAATCCTTGAATAAGTGATTGTGGAAGCCATGGAGCAGCAGAAGACAGCATGTGGGAAATGCTGACTCTGAGATGGAAACCCTAGGTCTAAGGCAAACTCTGAGAGGGACATTTTCACCTACCAGCCCTGCTCTTAGGAGCACTGAGCCCTGGGAGAGGAGATGAGAAGCCTGGGTTAGGAGAGGGCTCCACCTTTAAAGTCTGCAGAGGCTGGGGTGGAGCTCAGTGCCAGAGGGTTGCCAGACTTACATGAGATGCTGGGTTGGTTTGATCCCCATTTACACTAAATAAATAAATAATAAATAAATAAAATGAACCAAATACATAAGACCCTGGTACAAAATATTGTACAAAGTGCTTTTAAACTTCCTTCTTGTCTTTCCATTTTCTTTCATTCTTTTTCTTGTTTTGACAGTGTCTCTCCCTGTAGCTACAATTGGCCTCCAACAATTGATCCTTCTGCCTCAGCCTCCCAAAGGTTGGGATTACAGTTGAGACACCATGCTCAGTCCCAGCTTTGTTTTAAAATTTTCATTGCAAGGGTGGTGTAGATGCTGGGGGCACCCACGCCTGCAATCAGACCATTGGGGAGGTAAGGCAGAAAGATTATAAGAATTTCATTAAGTTTGGGCTGAGTAGTGAAAACAAGTCTCCAAAATAATAAGTGAATGAATGAATAAATAAATAAATAAGGAGAATTTAATGTGTAAAATCACAAGAGCACTTAGATACTATAATTTAAGGTACTACAGTAATATTTAAATTGTTAAGTAATAAAAGTCCAGTCAAATTGATGGTGCTGTTTTAGAAAATAAAATAAATCCTCTTGTGTCAGAAGTCTACAAATGAAAGCCAAGCATGGGACTGTAATCCTAGCCATAAGGAGACAGAAACAGGAAAGAATCGTGATTTCAATGTCAGCTGGAGTTATGTAGCCAGACATTCTCTCCAAAACCCAAAACAACAACACAAAATTAAGAATGGCACGAGCCCAGGAACTCTCAAGATATTTGGGGACCGTGTGCTTGGGGCTCATGGCTGCAATCCTAGCTACTACAGAGGCAGAGATCAGGAGCATTATGGTTCAAAGTCAGCTCATATAAATAGTTTGAGAGACCCTATCTCAAACACACCCTACATAGATCCTTTTTTGTTTCCAGAGCATGATGACTGGACATTCACGCTTTTGCATGTCATGCGCGTCCATCAAACTTGGTTACAATGTTGGTATGTTACCACTCTGACACACACACAAAATATACAACACAAAAAACAGCTGGAGGAGTGCCCCAAGCAGTAAGCTGCCTGCCAAGCAAGTGTGAAGCCCTGAGTTCAAATCCCATTACTGCCAAAAAGGAAAAAAAATCTGAAACCTGTTTAACTGAAGAGGTAGAACTCATAATATTCTCAGTGGCACCATGGTCCAAAGCAGCAACAGAGCCTGACTGAGGGAGGGTGTGGGGTGTCCTTATGGCAGTAAGTCACTTACCAGTGTGCAAGAGGTGCTCCAGGGCTCTCTGAATCCCAGCAGGGCCAGGCAGTGACTCCAGGCTACAGGACTCTGTTTCTCTTCCTTTGGTTCCTCTGAAGTTTTATTGACCTTTCTACAAGTACCTTTTTCAACAGCCTCCTGTTCAATCAGGAAGCAGCTTCTGACTAGATTCCTGAAGTTCCACCCAGTTAATTCTGACTGTTCAACTCTTTCCAGATTAATTGAGTGAGTCATGTTCCTCTCTGAAAGGAAAAGACTCAGGAATGGTGCAAAGTTTAAGGATTTTCTGCTTTGTGACCATCATAATCCTGAGTTTGAGACAGGAAAGCATTCAGTCTGTTCCTGATGTTAAAAAAGCAAACTCTAAAAATCTTTTTTTGAGATGTTTGGCCATGTCAACATTATGAATAGGTTCCACAGTTAAAACAGCTTGGCAGGGTACAGTGTGCACACTAATTGGAAGGTTGAGGGGTGAGGGTGAATTGAGCCAACAGCTTGGAGGCCAGCCTGGGCATCGCCCTGAGACCCTTCTCAAATAAATAAATGAAGAAAAAGTAAATGAAAAGAAAGAAGGAAGGAAAAAAAGAAGATAGAAAAAATATAAAAATAAGTAAATGCAGAAATACAGAAATAAATACACAAATAAAGGTATCCAGCAATAGAGAACACAACATTACTTGAATCAACAGAAAATACATTTGAGCAATTCATTTAAAATATTCAGAGATGATCTCTATGTACCAGAACACTGGTCTTCCCCACAGGCTCTTATCTTGGGCCATAGAGCACAAGGACACTGCAGGTCCCTGTCCCATTTCAAAACACCACTGCAGGTGAAAACACACCCCAACAATAAGAGGGAAGGCCATTGTGTAGAACTCTTGCTGCAGTAGATAATGGGAAGGGTGAGGGGCATAAGTCTCTCTGCTCACTCTCTCCACAGCCCGAAAAGATGCAATGCTCATTTTACTACATTCAGTTCTTGTTGCATGAGCTGTATAATATGACCAAAGGCAGATGCAGAGTTTAACTTGTATCTGTTTATCCTGACTCTGGATTTAAAGATAATTCACATTGAAAAGGATTTCTGAAATGTCAGTCTGTGGTTTGTACTTTCTTGATTGCTTCTTTGCTTCTTTAGACAAGGTCTCCTATGTAGTTCATGATTTCCATGAGCTCTGTCCTCCTCTCTTGCCTCCTGAGTGCTGGGATTGCACCCCTGGTCCACCAAGCCAGTGTGAACTGGTGTGTTTACAATTATTGACAATTAAATGAGTATTTAAATAATTAAAGTTGACTCTTTTCACCAAGGTGGTGCCAAAAGGGAAAAAGGAAGCTCCTACCCCTCCCAAAGCCAAAGCAAAGGCTGTGAAGGCCTAGAAGTCTGTGCTGAAAAACATCCACCAAACCAAAATAAGAAGATATGAATGTCACACACCTTCATGTGGCCCAACACGTGTGACTCTGAAGGTAGCACAAATATCCTAGGAAAAGTGTTCCTAGGACACAAAAGCTTGAACACCATGCCATAATTAAGGTCCCCTTGACTACTGAGTCAGTCATTACACCTGTAATCCCAACACTCAGAAGCTAGGGGCAAGAGGATTGGGAGTTAAAGTTCACCCTGTTATTCATGGGAGAGCCTGCTTCACAAAAAGAGGGAGGGCTGGGGAGAGGGAGATGAGAGAGAAAAGCAAAACAAGAAAAACTACCATATCTTTGAGAAAAACAAATCTATAAGGATGAGAACACGGCTCAAGTACATGGTAGGGCACCTGCATAACAGACACAACAGATAGGAATTTTCCAGGAGTTCAGTTCCACCTATTTTCCCTCCTTTTGTGGTTCTTTCCACTTGACACCAGGGCAATTGTCACCTGTCATGGAACTATAGATTTAGCATATATTGTTAATGAACTTTTCATTTGTCTGCAGGTCACCTGGCAACTTAAGAAGTCCTAAGAGGATCAAGCAGATTTGTCTAACCCATCAGAACAGGAATTTCTGGTCTTCAGGTGTCCTGTCCTCAAGATAAATTAGGTTACAGTTGGATAGAAATTCAGCTAGGTCAATTGGCAGTATTAGGTGACAGGTTCTCAAAGATCAAAGAATCCCAATTAGATGTAAATTGTAAGGGAAAGATGAGACCCAGAGCACTTAAGGGATCAAAGTTTAGTGATCTGCTTAGAACAGACTTTGATAATGATAAAATTTTATATAAATCCTAGAGGAGCCATAAGAAGAAAATTCAGGATGTTCATAAGTTAGAAATTAAAACATCCTCAAAGAGGTGTGCATGATCCATGCCTACAATCACAGCACTCCAGAGGCAGAGGCAGGCGGATTGCAAATTCAGGGTCAGCCTGGGCTACATAGTGAAACCCTGTCTCAAAAAAGGAACACAATAAGGGCCTAGGGCTCAGTGATAAGTTGCTTGCCTAACATGCTGGAAACACTGTGTTAAATTACAGCACCAACAAAACAAAATCAACAAACAAACAAAAAGTTCCAAACTCACTCAAGATGTGGGGTCAAGTCTCAAGTAGTGGAATAGTTGTCTAGCAAACACAAAGCCCTGGATTCAAAACACAGTACCAAGAAAAAAGAAAAAAATCCTGAAAAAAAGTCTTTTCACAAGAGAAAACCAACAAACAATAAAAGCAGAGAAGAAAGAAAGGAACAAAAGTTCCACAAGAAAATCAAAGGCAAAATTGGCAAGAAAAATCTCTACCTTTCAATAATGACCTTAAATTTAAATGAATATAATTACCCAGTGAAAGGCTTACAATGACTGGACTGATTTTTTTTTTTTAAGGAAAAAAAAGACTTAATCACCTGCTATTTAGAAAATACTCACTTCCCCTGTAAGGACATGCTCAGGCAAAGGGAAGGGATGGAAATAGATCTTCCACGCAATGTAAAATAAATTAGAGCAGGATGGCTAACCTCACATCAGATGAAATTGTCTTTAGAAAGGTTAAGAAGGTCATTATATAATGACAAAGATGTTAATCCAGAATGAAG